CTGTGTGTGCCTCTGTTTCCTCCACTGCCAAATGAGGCTTCGGGACCTTCCTCATAGAATATTTTCTAAAATGCCTTTATTTCACTGTTAGAGGAAAGTTACAAAACACGAAAACAAGCAACAGCGCAAGGAACTTCTGTAACCCTTCCCCAGTTTCCTGAAATCTTTACATTTTCCCATGAGTGCACCCTCTTTCTCTCTCTCCATGTATATGCACGTTATTATTTTCCTTTGTGACTCATTCCCAGAAGTTGCAGCCATGCATGATTTACCTCGAGTGTGTCCGTGAGTGTTACCTAAAAATGAAGGTATTCTCTCATGTAATGTGAGGACAGTGACCAAAATGAGGACCTTAACATTACTACAGTGCGATGATCTAACTTATAGAGCCGATTCAAAAATTCCCAATTGTCCAAGCAGTGTTCTTTAGGGCAAATGGAAAAATGACTTTTCTGGTGCAGGATCTAATTTACAAGTAGGTAGTGCATTTAGTTGTCCTACCTCTTTAATCTTTTCAAACCTGGAACAGTTCCTCTGTCTTCATCTTTTACGATCTTGCCATTTTCAGGTATAAACCATTTATTTTGTAGAAACTGCCTGCTTTCTGGTCTGTCTCCTGGTTCCTCTTGATGAGATGTGTGTTTTGTGGGAGAAACCACAGAAGATCTGCGTGTCCTAGGGCAATTTTGAGGATGAAAGGTGTAAGGGGACTTATAAAAATGCCTGGCATAGCCCTTACTCTGTGTTGGCTGCAGGTGGAGTTGACAGCAACACCCTCTGACCTCTTATCTGCAGGGCCCCCAGAGCACCCTCCCTCACCACACGCTATGGTCAGCTTGTCCTGAGCCCAGGTAGCAGACAGTGTCACTTGGGAGACAAGACATGGACAGGACAAAACTGCTCACTACACAGGAGGGTCTCACAGAAGGTTCCAGGGGGTCCCTGAGAGACAGAGCTTCATGGGCTGGTCCAGGCTCGTGGAGGAGAACGGGGGACACAGGTCTTCCTTTGTGACAGTGACATTCTGAGCCAAGACAGAGTAGCAAGAAAGTTTGGGGTGTTCCTAGGGAGCAGTGCATGGTCTGCTTGGACTGGAATGCAGAGTTCTGTGACAGGGAAGTCACAGTGAGCCCTCTGCCAGCACTTGGAGACAGACTGCATGCAGGTATGAGGATAAAGGCAGGAGGTGTCCAGATGTGTCCAGGTTTCTGGCATGTTCTTGGTGGGGACAACGTCTCTCGATGTGCCAGGAGAATCTGGAGAAAGGGCAGCAGATATGGTTCGAGTTTGGTTGGACAGGGTGGGGCTGCCCTGGACAGCCAGGAGAGATCCATCGCCATGTGGCTAGATGGAGGTGGATGTCTAACTTGGAACCATTATATTTTCAGTGTCGTGAATCGGATGAAATGATCCCCAGAGCTTTAGGCGAAGGATCAGTGAGAACACGGCTCGAGGGTACAAAGCCAGGCTCATGCTGGCAGTTATTATTGGTGACAACCGGCTGGCGTTGAAGCCTCAGCTAAGCCACGGGCATGAGAAGTGGGGGATGGACAGAATAAACCCCAGTGATGTCCATGGTCTTGCTCTCAACATGGCAAAAACTTTGCCTTGTAATCTACGTGAGGCCAAATGAATCTGAGTCCCGAGCAACCTCTCTTCATCCTGAGACCTGGTCCTGCGCGCTATTGCTTGTGCCATTGTCCCCTACCACTCCCTCCTGCTGCAGAGTCTTCATGGTGCATCCACGGCGAGAGCACCTGTTGTGGAAACCACGGTTGCCGCACCTATGCCATGGGGGTCTTAGCTGGTGCTCAGCTCCTGTGCAGGGGACGTCAGGCACTTTGGCGAAACACTCAGGCAAAGCCCCTGCCAGGAGTGGCCGGGCTTGGAGTTAAAGGCTGATCCTGTCAGGGCCTGCCCATCCCAGGCTGCCTCTCGCTAGGTTGTGATCCCACATCTGCCCTTGGAGCCCAGCTTCCGTCCCGTCAGCACTGATGTGTCCTGTCCCTGCATCTCACAGGACGCACCCAACTCTTCTTGTTCTCTCCCACCCATGACAGGCCCTGTTCTCCCTGACCCTGGTAGAGCAATGTTGTGTGTGCCGCGTGCCCCTCTAGACCAGAACACTGGCACCGTCTGGAGTCTTCCGTTTGCCATCTCCCCTCCTCTCTCTGAGGCCCCCTGCCCTGCGGAAACACGCCCCGGGTTTGCGCTTCTCTTCCGTTCCCCCTCAGAGCGTCCCCTGAGTTCCTGGTGGGAGATCAGTGCTCTCCCCTTCTGCAGTGCAGGGCTCTCACCTGCAAGGTTCCAGCGTCTGTCACTCTGACTTTCAACGTCTGGATTCCCTTGCTTTGAAAATCTCTCCTCTTGTACAGATGTTGGTTCTCCATCTGGATTTTACACATTCAAGCCCGGAGCCAATCCTGCGCTGTGTTTTCTTGCCTCCCCCCTCTGAATCCCTGTTCTGGAAGACAGCGCGGGTGTCCTTGTTACAGGCATCGCCGTGGCCCTCGCTATCGTGTCCCTGAAACTGGTGAGGGTAGCTCTGGACCAGCTGGAAGTGTACGGCCGAACCTCACCGACAAGGACAGATCGGTGTTCCTGACACTGACCAAGGGGTCGGGCATTGGCAGGAGTGCTGCCAGCCTCCGCACACGGCCTTCCAGGCCTCCTCGCCAGAGCCTTGCCTTTCCAGGCCTTTGACTCCCCCAGAAAGCCTCCCGTCTCCCTCTGATTCTCTCCTGCGCCGCCCTGCCCTGCTCCCGTGCCCGGGCTTCAGGCCCTTCATTAGCAGTCCCGCCAACAGTCTTCCTGTTCCAGCCCTTCCTCTCTTCTGGGGCCCCCTGGCAATCCTCTTCCCTCCGAGCCTCCATGTGCCCACAGGTGAGGAGGATGAGGAAGGGAAGGCAATCCCCCTTCCCCCACAGCGAACATCAGCACAGGGAGTGGGGGCTGGTCTGTAGCACCGTCTACCTAAGTGCACAGGAAGATCATCTCAGTGACTGAAGACGCCCTCTCACTACCTCTCGATTCCATTCTGGCCTTGGCCGTGGAACACTACGGCCACTGCATCGTGGAAAGGTACTTCCTGCTAACTCTGCTTCGCCCACACCCCAGCCCTGCTGTCCCTCTTTCCTCCATGGGAAAGAGGCCCGGCCTGGGATGGAGCTCGGGGGCAGGGCTCTTGCCGTCACTGCCAATCCACCCCTCTGCTCTGTGCCTTGGATCCCACTCTGATCCTCTGACTGGCCTGAGGGACACAGTAATTGAGGTCTTGTTGAAAGTGTCTCCTTACCCCTGGGTGCTCGTGCCCTGGCTTTGTGCTTCTAGGGAGGGAGAGCAACACCAAGTCTCCAACTCGTCCTAGGGAGGTAGCATTCAGGACACAGAAGGCGCTCCACGCACCTTTCCTGCTTGCTGCTTGTCCAGAGCATGTCATGTGTCCCTAGGCACGGGCAGCCACCGTTCCGACTCCCTGTCTACCTGCCACCCAGCTGGCCATGCTCAGGGTGGAATGTCCTCAGGGGGGAGATGCTGTCTTGAGAGACAAGGAGGCTATTCCCACCCTAGTGTCAGAGCTCCATGGAGGGAGCTCTCAAGGGTGCCAAGGAGAGGGGTGGCCCATTCCCCCAGATGCCACAGGCTGCCCTGTTTCTTACCTGCATTCAGAGGGCAGATGCAGGGCCTCAGGCAGGGTAGCCCTGCTGGGCTTTGCTCCTCATCCCCGATTGCGTGTGGATGCCCCTGGCCCCAGGGTCATTCTGGCCCTTGGAGGACTCTGAGCACACCGGTTGGTTCAGGATACGACTCTGACTCTGGCCTACCTGGACGCCCTGACGCAGATGACCAGCTTCCTGGGCGAGCGGCCCATGCCCTTGCCATGCGAGGTTCCCCACAAACTAGACCTTGTAGCCTCCATGGTGGTAAGTGCCTCTCAGGAGGAAGGGGGAGAGCAGACAGGAGGGTGGTCTTCGTGAAACCCTCAACAGGGTCCTGAGCTCGCCTGGAGGAGAGAAGCCCAGATTTTCCAGTTCCTCTCCTGCCGTAGTTCTCCCTGTCCTGTCCTCAAGGTAGGGGTGAGTACTGTGGGCAGGGATGCGTGGGAGTGGGTGGAGCTTCTGTCCTTCTCAGCCTGCTCATTGGAAGGCCCTGAAGGTTTCAGGTCTCACCTTCTTGTGAGCAGGGCATGGGGTGGGAGCAGGTGGTAGGAAGGCAAGATGAACATGTTCATGGTTCCCCTGGTCTTCGTGGCGGCTGTCACAGGAGCTGATCAGGGACGAGCCACTGGGCCGCATCTCCAGCCCCATCCGGCAGAAGGCCATGGCCATCATCGCCGACGTCAGGTAGCAGCGTGCCGCTTCTCTGTCTTCCTTGCTCTGGCTTGATTTCCACTCTTGTCCCTGGTCCCTCCTCACCTCTCATTTCCTGCTTCAGCTTCTTGTATGAGAGTCCCCAGTCAGTAGGGGACGTGTCCTGGACAGTGTGTGCCCTTTCTTTTGTGTCGATTTTGTGGGTGGGATTTCACGCGCACTTGCTTCTCCCCTGTCTGCGGGGCCTTGCTGTCCCCTCTGTCCCAGGCTTCATTCTGCTTCCTGGGCTGTCCCCAGCTTGACCCTCCACGTCCATCCCTGCCCCCTGCATTCCCTATGGACATCTGGGGATCCAGAAAGCAATATGTCACGCCCAGCCCAGATGCCATTGCCTCTAATGGCGGTTCCTGCTCTCACTCCCCTGGTTCCTGTCTTTCCTTTCCCTGGTCCTTGTGCCAGTGGCTGTGGTTTGCTCCCTTTTCCTCTTTCAGTGCCCTTTCTTTCCTGAACGTCCCTGGTTCTTGCTCTGCCTACCATTCTGCCCCAACCGCCATCTCCCTCTGCACCGTCTGTCTTCCTTTCCTCAACTGTCATTTCTGGCCACTGCTCGCCGGTCACACTCTGCTCTCCCCTGGGCCTTAGGAATCTCAGGCCGGTCTTGGACGCAGACAGCAGAGAAGAGCTCCTCGTCACGTGCTGCGAGAGTGTGCTCTGCCTGCCCGCCTCCGAGGGCCTGGCCGAGGAGGTGTCCGATCCCAGCGAGGGCCGGGCTAACGTGGTAAGGAGCTGTCTGATGGTCGACCCCCTTGTGTTTATCATTTGTTTTTGAGAGGGTGCAAAGGATAGGTTTGGCAGTTTTACGGAAGGGTCTTCCCCCACCTTTAACAGAAACAGATCTTGTCCTAGGAGGAGGAGCTGGCCAGGTCAGGCAGTCTGGGTGAGCCAGGGGATTGGCTCCCTCCTTGGGGGCACTCACTCATGGCCACTGCTACCCCTTGAATATTCTGTCCCAAAGGCGCACACTCAGTCCCGCCCTTTATAACTGTCACCCAGTGGAAACCAGTCTGGAAGGTTCAGTGTGGATTTACTCTCAGCCCACGGATACGGGCCTTCCGGGAATGCCAGCAGGAGGAGATCTGACTCCATGTCCCACAGGGCCCGGGTGTTCCCTAGAGGGAGGGAAGCGGGCTGGGCGTTTGCATCTGCAGGCTCGCGCTCCATGCCTGGGAGCTCTGGCCTGTGGTCTGTTCCTTTCTCTTGGCTGCTTGTTCTTATTTTATGGATGCCACAGTCTCTTGAACTTCTCTGAAGATACTCATAAGAATTTTTTGGAACTATGTTTTCTACTGTTTACTGAACTAGATTGTGTCGAGTGGTCACTTGGCCTGTGTGACTTGGGCCTTCTTTGTATCAGATGTCTGGTGACCGTTCTTTGTCAGTTCACAGTAATTTGTGTTCCGAAGGGAAGACGGCCACATCTAGAGAGAGCTCAGTGGGATTTCCTCTGGCTGTGCCCCCCGAGGCATTCCTCAGTGCGGTTCCACTTGGGAATGGGGCATTGGGACAGGGCTGGGAATCCCGCTGCCCAGGAGGAATGGCCTCACCTTGGAGTGGATTTCTTTGGAGCACGTCATCCCAGGGAGCTGCGTTCCCTTCTTGTCAGTGTGGGCCTTGGTATCTTGCAGGAGCCTCCGCAGGCAGCTCACCTACTTTCTTTCTAGGGTTTTACCTTAAAGGCAAAGAGGTACTGTTGCTGGGCAGGCCATGCGGTCTGTGTGCGGGGAAAGGGGAAGGGCACTGCTGCTGTTTGTGAATCGGCTGTGCACAGACGGCAAGGCCAGCCCCCTTCCCTCCGTGACAGGGGACGCAGTCAGCTCCAGACCACAGCACCCCTGGGAGCAGAGCCCCAGAATGTGCACAGTTAGGGAGGGGAGAATGGCGGGGGTAGGGAGCTGCGTGTCAGGGAAATCCCATTCCACTAGGACAAACCACACACCGGGCAGACTGTTCTACTCTGGTCAAAAAAGCAGAGGATTTATTCAAGTCCGCGGTAGGCTAGCAGCACCTGGAAATGCAGGGAAAACATGAGCAAGGGGCCTTTCTGGGGGTGGGGGTACTGAGCCGAGTGTAGAAGGAGGGGCAGGCTGCTACCTCAGTAGTCCTGTGAGTCCCTCTTCATCCATCAGGGCCTGTTCAGCATGACCATGCAGTCTCTCCGGAGTCTCCTGGAGGCATTGGTCACGGAGAAGCCCACTGAGATCCAGTCCTGCTTGGAGGTGAGTGAGGAGGAACCCTTGAAAGTTGGTGTGTTTGTTTCCTAGGACTCCCGTAAAATGGCACAACTGGCTGGCTTGTACAGCAGGAATTTATTCTCTCTCAGATGTGAAGGCTAGACTTCCAAATTCAAGGTGCTGGCAGGGTTAGTTCCCACTGCAGATCCTGAGGGAGAGTCTGTTCTTCCATTCTGTGCCTCTCCCCTGCCTTCTGGTGGTTCCTGCCAACCCTCGGCATCCCTTGCGTTGTACACATGTCGCTCCAATCTCTGCCTCCATTTTCACATGGTGTATTCTCCCGTATGTGTGTGTGTGTGCATGTGTGTGTCCTGTGGTGTGTGTGTGTGTGTCTTTTCTTTATAAGGATGGCAATCATTGGAATAAGTAGGGCCCACCATAATTCAGTATGAACTCACCTTATCTTGGTGACATCCACAAAGACGCTATTTCCAAACAGGATCACATTCTGAGGCTTGGGGTGGATGTGAATTTTGTCACCCCAGTATAGCTGGGAACAGAACGATCGGGGACAGGAGAGAGGCAGAACTGAGGATGAAGGCTGGGTGCAGAGCTTTGTGGGAAGGTGATCAGGGCTCTCTAGATGTGGTGTCTCTTAATTGGTGGGTTAAACATTTATGTTTTAGAAAATTATTGATATGCTTTTAGGTCTACCATTTGATTATTTGTGTTCTGTTAGTTCCCTCTTTTCTTCATCTGTTTCCTCTTTCTTACCTTCTTTGGCTTATTTTCCCATTTTTCATATTATATTTTAATTTACCTATTGTGTTTTCAACTGTGTCTCTTTGTATAGCTTTACAGAGGCCCCTCTAGGGATTATAATACACACACATAGCTTTTCACAGCCCGCCTACAATCAGTGCTTTGCTTTTTCAAGTAGAATGTGGAGACTCGCTGAGCATATAGACACCTGGACTCTTCCCCCACTCATGTTGGAATGGGCACACGTGTTACATCTGCACACATTAAAATGCCATCTGACAACATTATAATCTTTTCTTTGAGCCAGTCAACATATTTCACACAGTTCCATGAAAGAGGAGTTACTATTTTACCCAGATATTTACCATTTCTGTGTCTTCCTTTATTCCTGATGTTCCCAATTTCCTTCTGGTATCATATCTCTTCCTTTAACAGTTTAGAGTCCCTATGTTTATGGTTCACAATTTTGCATCCTTAGTGTTTAAGTTTCTTATAAGTCTCAAGCATCTACCAAACTGGAGAGAAAGGGTTCCGAGCCCCGTGTGCCACCGTCAGCTTCAACGGTCAGCCACGGCCTGTGTCATTTTAATTAGACCCCTCACAGTCCCCAACTTCTTTCCCCTGAGTTACTTGGAAGCAAATACCATGTCATTTGATCCATC